AGTGAATCTCTATGGATCATTAGCATTGCTTGGCCTTATGTAATACCCATTGGTGCCTTAACGCTCCCCCACAGAATTTTCCGATATACTGGCGCAGTAACTCGAGGACAGATTGTTATCGCGGCCATAGCACCAAACTACCTCCACCTTTTTTCCACAGCCTCTGGCGCTTCCTCCAGCCACACATAAATCCGAGTGTATATGCAAATGTGGCACCTCCCACACCTGTAGTTTGCTGTCTTGTTTTGTTCTCTTCACTCCATATCGCCTTTGTATCGGAGGTAATGGATCTGAAAAGCTGTTTTGCGCACATTGCTGAGCCTAAATTTACTGCGTTTTCTGGAAAGGAGATGTTCGTGCCTCCGTCTCACAGCCAATGAAGCTTTAAGTTGTATTTCAAAGGGATCGTTTTGGGTGGATAGAGATGCCTGTGTTATGCAATGAGAATGTAAAGATACAGCGGTTGCTCCCACGCGGCGCACATTTCTGACAATGCATCAACAAACGTTTTAATGGGCTTTTAACAGTGTGAGTGCGGCGGATGGTCACATTACTTTTTCATGACCTAAAGAACCACATAAAGATGCAATATTGAAAATGTATCGTATTTCGCTGCTATATTTCATGGGAATCGGTTACGTTTTAGAAGAACACAAACCATTTCAAACAAGAGCTGTAGCAATAATAAACTACATTGAGTGTGAGATTGGGAATTGTACTTTCTAGAGAAGTATTTTATGTAGTAGTTTTTTTTTTTTTTTTAAGTGAGACTCTTCTGAAGTTACTTTTTTGTAGAGCTACTGTACTTAACAATTATTTTTATCATTGATTAGTTTTCAATTAATTGTGAAATTGTTTAGACTCCAACATTTGTATACATTTGACAAAGCGCAAGTGATGTCCCAAAGAACCTCTTCATAGAGAATACTGGTTACATATCGGGTTGTTTGATCTAAAAATGCTTTTAGCACATTTGATTTAACTTCTGCAGTCACTAGATAATTATCTTTGTCACAAAACCGTTTCCCAGCAAGTTCAACCCAATGTTCAAAATTGATTAATACATTAGTTGACTAGTTAACTAATTAAAATAATCAATAATATTGAACAGTTGTGATAATTCATTAATTGTTGATTAAATGCATGTTCTATTTTCCAGCACACTTCCAAAGGTGCTAGAACAGGCCTATTCATTAGATGTATGATAGTCCAACAGTTTGACTTGTGCACTGGCTCGGACAATTTGCTGCAACATTCCAATAACGTCATGCTTTCCTCTTCATGTCTAATAAAGCCATGGTAATAAAAGTGTATACATTTAATCAATTACTTTCAAGCATTCAGTTGAGTTCACGGGATTGTCAGGGTGTTTTAACATAAACGCAGCACTGAAAATGGCTTATATCATATGTGGCACACGTCCTGACTCAACCAAGATATGAACACCACTATTCCCTTTGTGAGGCCATGGCTGCATTCTGTGTGACTGTGCCTGGGCTGCACTTAATGACCAATCATGTAGGTGGCTAACAGGGGGATTATAAATCTGCTTTTATGTTTGCTGTGACTCAACTGAGAGTGTGATGGCCAAAGTGTGTGAAAAGAACAGTCAGAACTTTCTCAAAAGGAATGTGTAATACTGAAGAGTGTGACAGTTTAGGACAAGTTCCACCGTGAAAGTGTCTCTGCATAATACAAATGTCATTACTGCAAGCGAATGGCCATACATTATATATTATGGTATGGCTTGAGAGTGTCTGATTTTATTTTAATGACACTAGTGGCAAGTGGTCTTAAGTGCTTAGTTAGGCCAGTGTAAGTCAACAATATGCTTTTGTAATGAATAAAATAATACATGGGCAAATTATTTATTGTGGGTAGAAGTAGGTTGGATAAACTGACAAATGTATGAATAATGTGTGTTAGTTAGATGTATTTGCGTTGGGCATACAGGAAAGTTAAACAACCTTGGGTGAAAGGGTGAATGCAATATGCATTATTTGGGATGACCATGAGCTGTGATGGACTTATTTAGTTCTCACACGGCAAGGCCATTCAACTCAATTTTCACGAGGGCAATATTTTGAGGAAGGCTATGGCCTCAGGGCCAAATAAATGCACATCATGTTTTACAGAATTAACATTGGAGTTTTTCGACAGAATCTGCTTTATTTGTTGTGATAAGATGAACTTTGAAGTCAACATTACTCAGCAAAATACTTTCAAGCCTGGATTGGATGAGGACCGACCAGATTTAAGCATTTTTTGTCAGAAAGTTAAACTATTTGACTTATACCAACCAGACAGAAAACAGAATACAACCAAGCCAGAGCATGATTAAACCGGTAATGGTGAAATAGAGAAAATAGATGTATTTGGACACATTTTCCAAATCAGATTTTGAATATCATCAATAATAACCAAAGTAACAAATTGACAAACATGTGTCCCACATCATTCATTCATATCTTTAATGGACTGGACTGCAGCCACCCTGCACAAACACCAGCAAGAATACAAATAGTGTTATGATTGAAAACAGGACAGCTGAGGTCCAAACAAATCATACCTTCTAATGTATTCCACCGAGTTAGTCATTTTTCACTGATTGATGAATAGCTGTAATCAGTTCATACAATCCCAGCATTGTGTACTCTTTCACATGTAAATCACTGGAGAGCCTTCTAACATGTGTGGGGGAGACATAATTCACCGGCTCTGTAGTAGGCAGCTGTTTCAACCATTGAGCTCTCTCTGTTTTAGCGAGTGGTGCTGGCTTGTTAGCTGTTGCTTTAGCTGTCGTTATTCGCTGTAGAGACATCTGCAGTGGCCTCGGTCTGCATCGTTAAATATATTCTGACCTAGTTCCAGCTCCTCTGTGGAGTCGATCCGCTCAGCAAGCAGCCTGTTATGTGTCACACTGTAGCTCTAGCTTCATCATACGCCTAACAAGGTGTGCCACCGTCATTTTGTATATAATGTGTTTTTGAGTGGGTTCCGTTTTAGACACAAGACTATTTGGGCTGCCATTACTCAGCACTTGTGTTCCCAGCTGCAGCAGAGAAACACTCCCCCCCGGTTTATTAAAAGCACACGAGTCAGAATCAGGTGTGAGACTAGATAAATGTTAATGTTCTGCTTAGTATTCACCCCTGCATCATCACTGTGAGCCTGTTGGTGCAGTATATTTTTCAATATAAATGCTAAATAAAATCAACCAACAGTTGGTGGGCAACTCAACCCACTGTGCCACTGCGGCCGCAAGTATAAGCCTGACAAATTAGAAACTAAATTTTTCAATATGTTGCACAGGCAAATGTTCTATCTCAATCGCAAATGTATAGTGTTTGTTCTCTTTTGATTTGTATGGGCTGGCTGCACAAACGCCACCTATAGTCCGACAAAACAACTTCTGTCTAAAAGAGACATATGTAAAGTGTGGATGTTGTGTGCTGCTGAGTTCTTACTTGAGTATCAGCTCTGTGTGGAAATATCTATAATGTTAGTGCACCATTTGTATTATGATCAGATATGCTGATTAACCTCAGCTGGCACTCTCAGTTATGGCAAAAGAAGTAGGACTTTTTGGCTTAATGCATAAACTAATGTATGTACTCAAGAACCCAAAGAAGCAAACGTGCTACATTGGCAAATTTCCAAAAATAGCCCATATTTTTTCTCAACAAATATTTGTATATCTGGGTTCTAAGACATGATTATTTTTGTAACTTCCTAACACACTATAAAGCATACATGCAGTAAGTATGTGAGACAAACCATATATGTTCTAGTACTCTTTATTCAGTTGTATAAAATATGTTCAAAGCTGAATCCACCAAACATAGATATCAGAGAATGGGTCCATTTTTGTTGTAAACTCTACAACACAGTTATGATGTATCTCTAGGTTGCAATGATTGTGCAGCCTTCTGTGCAATGTCTATAGCTACAGTATATATTGTGGGTGCATTCACTTGTTCTTTGTCCTGGGTTCTTTCCAGTCTGATCAGGCTTTAGTCCCACATCATTAAATTGTTACGGATGGAAAAATCGTCTTGTTGAGCAGTGTGTTAGACCTTCTACCTTCAATATGTTAGACCTTCTACAGTCACAATGTCTTTCACCTGCATTATGTTTCTACAGTTATTCATATAAAAGGAAAAAAAGTAGAGAAGAAATAACACTAAAATAACACATTTCTATGTTAAAGGAACAGTATTTAAAAAATCTGGCCAAATGTGGTACTGCAACCTCTCCCTCTCTCCCTGACTCAGGTTGCCAGATATGCAGACGAATCCAGCTGGAAACATAGTAACTGAATAAAGAGTTTTGTCAACAACAAATCTATAACCAACACATTTTTCACAAAGATTGAAATCCTGGTTTTATTCCTTGTTTTGTCATTAAGGATTTGAGAATCATAACAAGACCTTTTTAAATTCTCCGGCCACATGTTACTTTACCAATGAGATTAGCTCAACGCGGTGAGTTCTGGCAACCCGAATCACGAACGTTCTAATTGGTAAAATGGTGGAGGGTGGGACATTGAAATGAAAACAATTTAGGGGCTGTAAAACTAATTGTGACATTAAAATATCTCTGAACTACTGTTATCCGTTAAAGAAGTATTTGAGAAGAGCTTGTTTTGCGTAGGTTTCCTCCGGGTACTCCGGTTTCCCCTACCACTAAAAACATGCACAATAGGTCTGGCATACGCCTCCTGTACTGGCGACCCTGCTCCCATCTCTGTGTGGAATGAGTGGACTAATGCCCAAAAATAATAACAATTGTAAACCGCTTTGTGACTCTAGTCTGTGAAAGGCGGTATATAAATAAAGATTACTTACTTACTTACTTGTTTTATTAATGCCTTTTGACAGATTATGGCCATTTAATAATGACTTGACATGAAAATCTTACATATTGCAATTTTAACCAAACCTGTCACACATGCTTTCCTTCATGCGTCACTTTCCCTAACCTCCCGTCTCCTCTTACAGGAGTGACCACTGTGCTGACCATGACCACCCTGAGTATCAGCGCCAGAAACTCTCTCCCTAAAGTGGCCTACGCTACAGCCATGGACTGGTTCATCGCCGTGTGCTACGCTTTCGTGTTTTCGGCCCTCATCGAGTTTGCCACGGTCAACTACTTCACCAAGAGGGGCTACGCGTGGGACGGCAAAAGTGTGGTTCCAGAGAAGGTTTGTTTGACATCATTGTGATCACGTAACATTACACTGGTATATACAGTAGATTTCTTTCCTTTACCAAAATTACTGAATAAATTGGGCACATTTTGGTCTCAAAGTCAGACAATGATAATGATGCAACAAAGACCCCCTTTATGATTGTACAACTGACCCACGGCATTTCCATATTTGACACTTGTACTTATAGCAGCCTATACATTTGTGGTCAATTAAGGATCTACTCTGGGCTCGAGAGAAAAATGGCCCAGATGATTGGCTTGAATGGACAACCAATTTGATAACCATGTATCTGATTCCAAGTATACCCCCTAAATGGTTTGCTCAACCATTTGGTAGATCACCTTTTGAGTCACTATATCTACTTAAATTTGCTTAGAACTGAAATCTACCTGATTGGGGAATCTCTCTCTGCTTTAGGAGCACTTTTACCACACAGAAATGAACACAACTTTACTTATTATTAGTGCTCCTACATCTTAGAAAAAAATGTGATTGTGTTTTTTCAAGGAGTGAAAATTAAAGTTTTTTTTTTGTTACACACAATCAATTAATCAAATGTGAATTATAAAGTGCGTTTCATACAAATACAAGTGCTTTACATTCTGCTTAAAAATAGTCTCATAAGCACGTGACTATAGTCAGCCTGACCACCCAGCAGACCCACCCCAAACCACATGTATTATTAAGTACAAATATACACACGCATGGGCACACACACACACACACGCACGCATGTGGCTGGTTAGGTCATATTTTTTGTAATATACTGTATTAGTCTGTTTGTGAGTCTCAGCGTCCCTTTTCATGTGATAATATAATAACCCATTTCCCCATTCAAAAGATTGTTGTATTGAAATTTAAATTATTATTGTTATTTTGGATAACTGAAACCCATGGATACATATGGTTGGTACAAAAGAGCTGGCAAACGGTGGTCCCATAGAGAGAGCATTTCTTACCTGAATGCCTGTGGTTAGAAGTAGCTGTTGCGAGGACTGGACCAGACAAGGGATGTTCTGTTGTTGTCATCGCATCCCGGGGGAAATGAAGTTCGTGTAACATGACGGGAACATTAATAGTTTAGTGTCCTCCTGTGTTTTTCACTTTAATTCTCTCTGCTGGGAGTTTACAAGTCCGCTATTCGGAAATGTGACGGTGGTTTTTGTTGGAATGGGACCAACACGTCTAGACAGAAGGAATCAAACCATGCAGCGTGTCATCTAAGTGAATGGAAAGGAAAATAGCTGATTACACTGTTTTTTGTGTTTTGATATATTTAGTTATTGAGGTCTGAACCTTCATTTTAGAGTATCTTGAAATGGGAAATGAGAGGCTACCCACAGTAAGTATAATCAGATAGAAGTTAGTTGTAGTTATAGTTAATTGTAGTTTTAGTTAGATTTAGTTTGTTGTAATGTTTTACCCATATATTTGTTTCTAGAAAGTCATAACTTGAAACCAATCGTGAGTGTGGGATGTACTGTCACATCAAATATAATGTTTATAAAGTGTTATCTTTCCCAGAGACCATGGCTATGTGATAAATTTGGTCCTTGAGAAAGTTAAGTTGAATTATTGATTTATTCTTTCACAGACACATTTCAGAGAGTATGAATAGCACAAAAACATTGTGGTAGTGATTGAATGAAGGCTGCTCATAAAGAGAAAGTCAGAACTAATATAATTGTTTGATCTTTGCAGAAAAGGAAAAAAAAGATCCAGCTTCAGCTAGTTGTAGTTCGGCAATGATACAGTAGATACAGTGCGACACAGCAGTTAGAGCTTGTGCTTCACAGCATGAAGGGTTCAATTCCACTTCTAGACATGGCCTTTCAGTGAAGAGTTTGCATGTTCTCCTAGTGTCTGCATAGGTTTCCCCCTGTTCCCCTACCACTATAAACATTGTAACTGCGATACAAAGCTAATCTGAAACTTCTCTCTCTCTCTCTCTCTCTCTTCCAATTCCCCACTCTTTTCTACCTCCCATTCTTTTTATTTATTTGTCTCATAAAGCAAAAGAAAAAGAAGGAGTCCATGCTGAAGAAGAACAACACCACAGCCTATCCCGCCGCCACCGCCACCACTTTCGCCCCAAACATTGCAAGGGACCCTGGATTGGCCACGATTGCCAAAAGCGCACCTCCTCCTCCCACTGAACCCAAGGAGGAGCCCAAGCCCAAACCACCAGAGGCCAAGAAAACCTTTAACAGTGTGAGCAAGATTGACAGGATTGCCAGAATAGCCTTCCCGTTGCTCTTTGGAACATTTAACTTGGTCTACTGGGCGACCTACTTGAATAAGAAGCCCAAACTGCAGGTGTAAATAACCCCCACTATCCGCCATTTTGTTCTGTTGTTTTAAAAATCCGTTCATTTTCTATACAATTCTTCGAAAGAAACAAAAATAGTAAATGGTGTCCATGCTGGTTTGGACTCTCCATATAGTATTTGCCATTTTCTGTTGATCTAAAAAAAAAACTGAAGATTTTGAAGATTAAAATATGTGCTTTTGAAAAATGGGTGTTGTTTCGGGGACTGGGCAATGCTTCTGAAAATACTATTATAAATAATTAGCCAAGAGAATGCTATCTGCACATAGCCCATTCATTACAGGGCTTCTTCTACTTCATTTATTTATTATTCAATTGACACTGACAAGGAACTTGTGTATAGGCATGGACAGGGCATTGTTTTTATTATTTGTTTAAATTATTTAATCAACTGTAACACTTGAGTGATGGCTAAATTTATTTGACATTGAAACGCTATATACGCTCAATTTATGTGGCTGTATCCTCCATCTGTTTTCTCTGTTATGAGATCAATTCTGTAATTCCATCTTAGGGTTTCTGCAATAGCAATAAACATATCTCAGTGGACATGCTGATTTACTGACGAGAATTACCAACCATCCCATAACTGCTGTGGTCTCCATGGGAACTACTTTACATTATTGCGACATTGTAAATATTCTTAAAAACATATAGAGATGTCAATACTAAGTTGAAGCTTTGCAAAGTGTAACTTATTGAAAGGTATGGAAGAGGAAAGTTTTAATTTATTTTTGTTTATATATTTACAGAACTTTCTATGAAAAAACAATTATAGTATTCTGGTCTGAAAATCACGCTTAAGTGACTGTTTCTCTCCGAGTTAGCATCCATCAAAGCTGCTTTCAAGTAAGAAAAAAATGAAAATATTAATCAAGAACATCTTTTCCTGTGTTTTGTGTACACACGACTGCAACACTGATCTAACACTGGGTTTGGCTAGCAAATGTAAGAATGTAAAAATATATATATATCTTGAATTCTGGAGTGCATTTTATATAAAAACTCACATTTTGTCTCTTTGTTTTGGGCCTGTACATCCAGATTTCTCAATGGTGTCGCCTATGTTTTTGCCAAAACACCACTTGCTTGAAAAAGGACTCGGCACGTAACGGTTTGAAGTGCCTTTTCCGTTTTCAATGCCCAACCTGTGACGTTTTTGTTGACTGACAGTGATTTTATGTTACTATAATTTATTTTTTTGCAACAGTTTATTTCATTCTGTTACAAAACTCACATTAAAATATTCAGATCATCCAACTCAGAAAGTACCAGCTACACTGCCTTCAATATCACATGCCCGTTTGGACTATATATATAGATATCTATATATAGACATAGAATATATACATATCTATATATATAATTATATAGCTATATGGATTATGGATACAGTATGTAGGGACTTGGAGAGATGGATCATACATATAAATGTGTTTGCAGTAGAGGATTTGAAATGGCAGGGTAGTGTTTCCTTCAGCCATTGCAGAAACTTGTAGATCTATGATAGCGATGAAGATGAATATATTTTTGTAGCATGATGTCAATCCCTCTTCCGAGAAAAACTAATAGATCCTCTTAAAAAAAAAGTTCTATTCTTTCACACTTTTTCGGGGTGGGTGTGTCACTGACCATTTTAGATTACGTTAATGTAGCAATATGAATTAGCAAGGGCTTTACTTAGGACCTGACAGTGTGGGATGGTAAATTTTGTAGCTTTACATTGACCCCCTCATGACATGTGGCATCATTATACGCAAAAAAAAGAAAACAATACTAACAAAAAAGTGGGATGTTTCTCAATATAACTTGCTTTTTCTTTGTGCGTCCACTTTGAATTAGAATCACTGTAACTGCGTGCAATCGTAGCGCAACGTTGCATTATGAATTGTGTACAAAACATATTTCACAGAACGCTAAACTCAATGAAAAGACATGAGTGGTGACTGTAAGCTTGTGGTGCATTTGCGTGCCAAGGTTAAAGAGGTCACTTCATGGCCCCTGGGGATGGTAAAGAGACCAGCGTTTGTTGCTATTATCATCACTTGAATTATCTGTTTTCAAACCGTAGAGTGATGAGATACTAAATAGGCCACAGGCTCTGCTGCCGTGGCAATTTTAGTGGCCGTCTTAGGTGTTCCTTAAAAGGTCAAAGAAAGTCAAGTATTTGAATCATATTGAATATAATAATATATTTTGTCAATATAATGCAAAGAACTTTACCATCCATCCATCCATTTTCTTCTGCTTTCTCTGTTGCCGTGTCGCGGGGGCAGCAGTCCAAGCAGAGACACCCTGTCTCCCATATCCACACACACTTCCCCCAGCTCATTCAGAGGAATCCCAAGGGGTTCACAGGACAGCCGAGAGACATAGTCCCTCCAGTGTGTCCTGGGTCTTTCATGGGACCTAAACTGGCTCCTCTCAACATGGAGCTGCAGCGGCTCTAGTCTGAGCTCCTATTGTGTGAATGAGCTCCTAACCCTAAATCTAAGGGAGCCAGGCGCTACGCGGAGGAAACTTATTTAGACCTCAATCTCGCCCTTTTGGTCATTATGCAAAGCTCATGACCAAAGGTGATGGCGGGAATGTATTGGTCATTATGCAAAGCTCATGACCAAAGGTGATGGCGGGAATGTAGATCAATCAGTAAATCTGCAGCTTTGCCTTTGGAATCTGCTCCCTCTTCACCACAACAGTCCGATACAGCGGCCGCATCACTGCACATGCTGTAAATAAATTGTTGACAATGATAAGATATATAAACACTTAATTCTTTCATTGACAATTAATCTATGTTTGACTTTCACCAGATCATATTGACACAACCTAATTTCTAAGACTAATAAACCTAATAAACAATATAATTTGACCTAATAATAACATTTTAGAATGGGAACACCCAATATGGCCGCTGGAGCTGAACCCGTGTCAAGTATAGGTTACCCTGGAAATGTCCTTTCAAGTCACATAGGGCCCTATGATTAAAAGTCGCCTCTTTGACACTATAAAAGGACTGCAGTTATTTGAAAGCAGCCACAGACTACAAACCGAGGGTCAAGAAACTGCAATGGTCAGGAACAAAGGCTTGTATAGAGATGTGGATCTATTGTATGTATATGTTTATTATCATGGAGAAAATATATATCTATAAATATGTACAATACTTAATGCATACCATATTATTGGAGATATTAGCAAAGATGATGATGAATATTCTTTATATGATTACTATTATCATGATATTGTTACGCATTTTGCACATTAGACAGTACATTTGCATTAGTCAGCTTTGTGCTATGCAAGGACAACTTCATCCACTTACCGCTTTGTTTTAAACCCACAAACGTTAAGTTGCAGACTATTGAAAAATAAAAAAGCTAGCTTCCATATTCTCTGTGCCGAGTTATTGTATCATCAATTTGTAATGGTTTGTATTACGGCTAAACAGGGTGACAATCTGTAAAAGAATACACGGGACGATCTTTTTATTTTCTGGATGGGAAAAGAACTGGCTTTCATTTTGGATTGCACCTTGTGAAAGCTGATGGAAGAATCAAAAGAGCATTATAATGATACATATAATATTAATTTGGGATTTTTATGGAAACACAGTTTGAGTTTTTGTTGTTCACAAAGTGAATGATGCTTAATGAAGGAATTTTGTGTCTTACTTTGTCCAGTATGACTATTTATGGTAAGATACTACAGGTACAATGTTGATATTTATTATTTGGATAGTTATCACATGTTAGAAGTTTATTCGTTATTATTATTTGCATTGAATTGTTAAATATGTCTTGATATTTTCTAGATTTCTTTTAAAAAACATGTATTTATTTAATTTCTTTAATATTTTGAATTAGTAAAATACTTCATTTGATTATCTTTCTTTAAAAAAAAAAATGTATTAGCTTTAAAGCTGGGGTACATTTCATGTTTTTTTTCAGCATTTATACATTTAATACTGGAAGAGACTTGTAGAAGTGAAATATTGTGAACAAATTAGACCGCAACATTCTGTATTTCCTGCTATTTTACATCGCCCTACAAAGAGCCCTGTGAGTCACTATTTAAGAGTGCTGATTGGCTGAGTGAGGGTGGTACTCTCTTTTTCACTATTCCGTCTGACAAAAAACTGAAAAAAAAAATATGCAAAAGAGGCCAAAATAAATGCATGTGCGCAAAATAAACAAACTGTTTTGAGGTTTAAATTTGATTATTTTCTTTCTTTTTTTTTCTTTTTTTGTACCCCAGTTTGAATTCGGAATCGCAAAGATACCTGTAGTTTCTCATCATACTATTATTGTCATGTATTTATTCATGTATTATTGTGTTTATGCTCCAGATGAGAATGTGAAATTTGAGGCATATAGTGCAATCATGAGCTTCCGGCCTCCTGCTGCCATCGTACATACTGTAAATACCTCCGACTCCATCCGCTGTTTCTTTGTCTTGTTCAATTACAGATTCATCCTCAACAGAAAAAAAAAAAAACCTGTCTTTTCGGTTTTATTCCTAGAAACCTACTGGAGTTTTCTTGTATTTTTATCAACCAAAATATGTTCTGATTTACACTGAAATGTAAAAAAAATAATTATATATATTAACATAATTTTCTAAAGCACAAAAATTGAGAAAATTAAACGTTTGGTCCACGTATAATGGATATTTATGGACATGGGTGAACACACTGCATACACTAATCGACTTATGGCGCAGTCACGCGAATGTGGACAAGGGTTTGGTTTGAAATGACAAACCTTCTGTAAATGTTTTCTTTGGTTCTTTTTGTTTATGATATGGCCCTGTAGAAACTCTCTGCATTAGTCTTTAAATAAAATGAAAACAAATCAAACCAAAAGTCTCCTGTTGTCTGAATAATAACAAAAACAAAGTCGTGGTGCCGCTCGGATGTCATCATTTCTGCATTAGAGGCAATTTTAAATGTGTTTGTGTCCCCACTGAAGTTGCGATTCAATCACTTCTCGTA